TATTTTAATTTTTTGTAGAAAAAATTATTTTCTTGTAAAAATCTTTCAAACCCTCGATTTGAGTCCAGACACCCCCGAAGGTGTGTCCGAATCCTTCAAACCAAGGCTCTGATACCAACTTGTAACATCCCAAAATCCAAGACCAAAAATTTCATTTTTAGTTTAATAATTCATAAAACAGAGTATTGAACACATCATTAAGTTATCTCATATCATAAAAACCCATAAGTCATATGTCACAAAACAAGCCATAATAATGTCAGAGTACAAATACCAAGAACATCATATTGAGTAAAATAGTGGTGTGATGTGCTACAGTCATGTCGACTCCTTTCCCTTCGAAGAAGAAGTACCTGAAACCAAAATTGTAAACCATAAGCACGAAGCTTAGTGAGTTCCCCCATCATACCACATACCATATAATCACATAACACCTAGCATATTTAGGTGCTGGCCTCCCCTTCGGTCTCTTTCAACCGGTAACTGCCTAGCATATCTGGGTGTTGGTCTCCCCTTCGGTCTCTTTCAACCAGTAACTGCCTAGCATATCTGGGTGCTGGCCTCCCCTTCGGTCTCTTTCAACCTGTAACTGCCTAACATATTTGGGTGTTGGCCTACCCTTCAATCTCTTTCAACCGGTAACTGGGGACTATTTCACCCCTACCACTACCACATAATACCCTAGCATATACATATAAATCATATACTGCCTAGCATATCTGGGTGCTGGCCTCCCCTTCGGTCTCTTTCAACCGGTAATCGGGGACTATTTCAGCCTCAACCACTATCACATAATAACATAACATACTAGCACATAAAGCATAAAAGATAGTGGCATACCAGACAATTATCACAAAGACAATCATCTCAACTATAATCAATACTAGTGGACCGGCATTGGTGCCATTGACTCACTCCGACTGGAAGGTAACTCACCTTGCAAAGCTAAGTGTCGAATCTCACGGCAAGGAATCCCCAACAACCGCTCCAATGACTCCCCGTCTATCATTATCATAACAACACTTGTCAAAATCCATAATACTTCTTAGGGTAAAATGACTATTTTACCCCTTGACTAATCTGGACCATATCCAAAGCCCAATTCCATTTTATCTTTCGAAGCCCACTAAAGACCCACTAAAGGCCCACTAATGGCCCAATTTTCTAAATTGGGCCCAACTCCTCAAATGGACCTTTTCCAAAGCCCAAATATGTCCTTGACCCAAAAACTAACTCCTTATGGCCCATTAAGGCCCAATAGCCGATAAGTCTAAAGATTTGGCCCAATCTGAGGCCCAAAAGACGTGAAGCCCAAATCCTGAGAGTACACTTAGCGTACTCCTCTATACGCTACGCGTACAGCTTGTGTGGCTTGTACGTTGCGCGTACTGGCATGTACGCCCAACGTACTACCCTGTTAAGCCATATTCTTCAAAACTGCTTAATCCCTTAAGACATTAAGTCCAAATTACATATCTAAGTCCATTAACATGTCTTAACTGATAAAGTCGGTTACTTGGTGGCTTGGAACCCACCAAATGAACCCAAACTTGGATTATAGCATCTAACTTCCATGGAAATGACCAAAACTCATGCATGGTCACAAAAGGACCTTAAAGATCGAAACTTTACTACTTATGGGACTCATATATCACTAAGGGTGGCAACCGTAGGCCTAGAAACGAATTTGAATCATAAAGATCCATTCTTGGGACCAAAAAGGGTCCAAAACATCACTACTCTAGATCTAAGCATACATGAAGAATGTTGTGAACTTTATACCTCCAAAGAGTCCCAAATGATGATGCTATCCCGGATCTATAAGCTCAAGATACTCAAGTTCCTTTTCATTATCTTCTCCTGTCTTCTTTCAAGCTTCTAAGCTCCAAAACAAGCTTCACAAGGCCAAACACACACAAGAATGAGAAAAGGGAGGCTATCTAGGTTTTCTGAGGATTAGGGTTTGGAGTCTGCTTGCGTACGCTGCGCGTACACCTTTGTACGCAACGCGTACGCACCTCCGCCCCCCGCATCCAATGTGACTCTACGCCCCACGTACGCCAGACTTACGCCCAATGTACGTCTTCGGGTAGCCATTCTTATCGGCCCACTTGCTAAGCCCCCTCAATAATCCGTTAATCATTCCTTAGTCCAAACAAATAAATTAAAAAAAATTTAAAATAAATATTACCCCAAGTGACGGGTGTTACAGATATACCAAGATTCCTCATAGATAGTATGGAGGTTAGGGAAGCCCACAACACACCTTCTTAATCAAAATCAAAGATTCAATTGAACCCAAGAAAGTAGATTAGCCTTAAGAATGAAGGAATCCCCAATTCCTAGAGGATGTCAATTCTTACACGTCCATAAAGGAGTCATGATACATAAGCTAGAGATGATTTCTACCATCATAAAGCCCTTGTTCTAAGTAAATTCAATAATTCAATGCTAAACCAAAGAAACAAACCAACAATTTCTTATTTAAGTACCAAGCTCATGATCAAATTATTAAACAAACATAAGAAATATGAACTAGAATCATAAACATAAGATAAATGACAATTAAGCATGAATCATTCAAAACCTACAAATATCCAAGAGTTTTAGCCAAAGTTAACCAAAATAAAGAAACTAGCCACTCATGTCAACAAAATAACAATCACAAAAGTGTTTTTGCATCAAGAAACTAACAATTACTTTGAAAGATGAGAAGAATTTGTATTAAGCTCCCAAAAATCACCTCCAATAAGTGTGAGCTGCTAGACCTAACCCCTCAAGTAAATGGTGAGCAAAATGACCAAAATACCCAAAAGTATGCAGTTGCGTGGGTACCCTCTCAAGTGTTGCGCGGCTGAGACTCCACCCTCGCAAACGATGCTGGAATGCTATTGGTTCTTTTTTCTCCACTACACCACTCCATTACTCAATATTCTCTTGGTCCCCTTCACGCCTCACATGATTAAAATTTGGCGAATCATCTTCAAGCTTCAAATGTGGATAGCCCAATCCCAAAATAAGAATCCAAGACCCATGCTCATATGCCCACTTCATCCAAGTCTTCAACTTTTTAAGCCCAATTCTTCTTTGATGGATTCAGAAAGCCCAATAACGCCTTGAAAGCCCACAAATCCCATCTCCAAGCTAATCCATAACCCGCAACGAGCTCTAAAACCCTACAAAATACGTCATGTAAAATAGAAAGTACCCGATACGATCCATGATAAAGAAAATAAAGAATATACAATGCAAGACTAATAAAAAGAGTGAAAAATACTAAAATAAACTATAAAAAGAAGGAAATAAATAAACTATCAAATAACTCCAAGCTTAAACCTAACTTGTCCTCAAGTTAGAAAAAGACTAAAATGAGCTCGGGATGAGCTAAACTAAAAAGGGAAAAGAAAGATACCATAGAACTTGGTCAACATCAGTCAACATGGTCAGAATCAGTCTTGCATAGACCCTATGCATCTTCAAAATGCCCCCCACTTTAGAGCCATAAATCACATTCTCGAACCACTTGAAGGGCGAATAGATCACGTCTGGATGTAGTCGCGGTGTGCAAGACAAAGGAAACCGAGGATGCGCCCAGTGGGGCACTTTAAATCATCAATGCAGACCATAATGCATGAAGGAAAGGCGCCTCTTCACACACGATGATTCCTACATTTTTCAGGCTAAAGTGTAGTAACGAAATAGGGTTTGCAGCACGGCCTCCCGGCAAACATCCGGCTTCAGGGGCTTCTCCCTTATACTGTCCTTTACAGTCTACCGTCTCATCTTCGTTTCCTTTTCTCACCAAAATCAAAAATAAAATAAGATAAGAAAAATGTACTCAACCTAAATCTAAACCTAACATCCTAAATCTTCAATCTTGAACTTCTGTTATTTGGTCTTCAGTCTCTTGCTGATTGATCTTCTGTCTTTTTATTTCTCTCATTTTTTTAGAGAAGCCTTGAACTTAGATTATTGTTCTTCTTTTTTTGTTGTTCTTTTTCTTCATTTTTCTTATTTGTTTTTGTTGCTTTTTTTTAATCTTCTTCATTGTCTCTTATTGTCTTTTCTTTTCCAATTTCTTCACTTTTTGTGTGTTTTCTTTTTGTCTTTCTTCTTGGAAGGACTAAGGAATTTCACCATGTAACATAGGACTCCAATAGTAAAAATGGAGTAATAGATAGAGGCTAAAATGAACACCTAATGATCATTGGCAATGTGTCAATATCTACTAAAAAGGGTGGGGAATGACTCATAAATGGGTGTTACCAAAAAAAAATTGGTCCCAAAAATGTGAATTGGGGGACCCGCCTCAAAGTTCATCAAGAGCCTTAATGTAAGGTGTGATAAACATAACCTATCTAACTATCTTCCTTAGAACCCTAGAATAATGATGACCTATCTTAAAAAGGTGGTGAAAAACTAAGTAAGGCTCGGATGAGACTCGGGAGTACTAAGGGGTATTCCCCCCAAACCCAAGATGCAAGTCTTCAATGTCTTCAAAATACCTTACCGGGCTAATCTTTGCTCGCACACATCGGCCTGACCAACCACATCCCTCTGCACCTAGACCCAATCAAGCTACCTGCATCTTACCCCCATACAAGCGGTCTCAAAGTGGTCTGTGAGGCTCAAAGCATGTGCCATTTATCCAATACAAGGAATTCCATATCAAGACCCGGGACCAATCTATGATTCAATACTTATGACTCGGGGCTATGGTACCTGTAGGGATGAGAAGACAAGAGAGAACAAAAATGCATGAAAGTTAAACTAGAATGCATCTAAAAAGTATGAAAATTAGAAAAGAAAAAAACAAAATATGCAATTTTTTGAATTTTTTTATGCAATTTTTATGAATGACCTAAATGACTTACCCTAAATGCAACTATATACAACCTAAATGCAGTCAAAAATAAAATATCAAAATACCTCACCCCAAGCTTAAAATTAAGCATTGTCCTCAATGCTTAGGATGAGAAAAAGGAAGGGTCATACCAGGATCAACGGGGAAGAGGCCCGCGAGGACGGTAACCGCCTTCGGGCCGAAAATGATGCCAAAGATCTTCCATGTAGTTGTTGGCGCGAGCATGCTGCTCCTCGATGCGCCGAATGGCTGCTTCATGTCGGTTGCCCTGGCAACGCAAGGCAACAAGCTGACTGTATATATCAAGAGGAAACTCGGGTCTCGGCTCGTGTTGCTGTGGAAACTGTTGGAACTCAGGTTGTGGCTTGAACTGTGCTCCCGAGGGTTGACCATGAAAGTATTGTGGTACTTGCTGGATAGGGAGGTCATAATGGTTATCGTTCTCAAACGAGCTATCATCATTGGCATCATCTACCTACATGTCATCATCATCACCCGCATCATCATCATCTACTCCAAGCTCCCCAATGCTTAGCTCTCCAGGCAAGAACCAAGTCTCAGGGTCACTAGTGGTAAAGGATGATATGTTGGAATGAGGTAAGATGTAGACTGATTCCTTGGCATGATTAAGCCAAGAGTAATGGTGATTGTTGGAAGGCAGCAACATTTCCATCCGGGTGAGAGCTATGCAGTCGAGGAGGTAGATGGGCGGGTCATCCACTGGCACATACTCAGACTCGGGAAATTGAAGGCCCACACCCAAACCAATTAGGTAATGAGACCTCCAATGCAAATGTCTCCGGTGGACTTCATGCGTATGCTGTCACATTTATCCAAGAAAAAGGTGGTGAAACCGGGACTAGACCAACGGTTTTGGTACATGTAATAGAGGAAATATAGCTCGACTGTCTTCATTTGTCCCGGCTCGTGACGACCAAAGATGGAAGTTGAAAGAATCCAGTGGGAGATTCTCCAACAAGGATGGATGATGTAAGGGTCTTTTTGTCGACTCGGATTGAAGTTTGGAAGACTGGTGAGCTGGTCCAAAACTCTACTTTGGGCAAGCTCTTGAATTGAGTCCATTGATAACTATAAATTTCGGTGTTTTGACTATAGTATGTGCCCATGATAGTGTTAAGGGTGTCGTATGTGAGTCAGTGTTGCCGACCCTGGAGTCTAAATGTAAGCACCTCCACCGTGTTATCTCATGCATAAGTGGAGAGGAACTCGAGTGTGGGTTGCTTGTATATGCGTGCGGAAAGAGCTAGGTAATCACGCCAATCCATGTGGAGGAACATCTGTTGCAAGAAATCGTCAATGTCAAGGTTTATCATCCACTCCCGGTGGTAAAATTTGGTGGCTCAGATTGCACGTTTTTGTAGGTTTGACTTGAATTGCTTGATTTGTGCACTAGTGAGGATAGGGTTACCATTACGATCGACATGCTCAGTTGAGCATTTTTTGTATGATCTCGACGACTGAGCTTCACAAGAAGAACCATGAGACGCGTGAATAGTTTTGTTCTTTCCCATTGTACCTGTTAATAGAACCTAGCAGAGACAAAAACTTGACCAAGATTATCCCGCACACTCACCTCACACCAATCCAATCAAGTCAAATATAAATAAAAATAAAAATTGGGCAATCACTCCAAACTTGCAATTTGGCACAATTCAAGGCAATGTAATCCAATCAATTTAAAGCAAGTCAATTCTAAGCAACCTAATGCATAGTATAAGTCTAGCAAAATTATAAATTTAATGCAATAAAATTGAAAGGAATATACCAAATTTGAGTGTCGAAACACGAAAAGAAAACCGCTAAAACCGCACCCAAGCTTAAATTTGACCCGCAAGGTTTAGTGTTTTGAATCTCCGATGAGAAACAAGAATTTTAAAAATTTTCATTAAAATGAGGAGCGGCGGTCAGCGGTGGCGGCAGACGATGGCCGGTGACGGAGCTAGCTTTTCCGGCGAGTTACTTTTCCCAAATTGACTGTAGATCGGCGTGCCCGGAAGTATTTGGTGAAGAATGCCCAAATAAATTTTGAATTTTGTTGGAAGGTGGTGGCGGAATGAAGTTTTTTTCGATTTTCCGGTGAAGGAGAAGAAAATGACGGAGGCGGCGATTGAAGGCTGTGGTGGCGCTGGTGGTTGTCGGAATTGGTTGGTGTTGAAGATGGGATGGTCCGGCAGTGCTCGAGTGGACAGATGAGGCAATGGGAGTGGTTTGCGACTTTCTGGCGAAGAAGGGTGGGGGAAGATGGTTGTTGTCGGTTGGAGAGGAAGGAGGGAGGCATGAAGATGTCAGCTATTGGAGACCGGCGGAGGATGGCGAAGTCGGCAGCGCCGACCAATTGCGACGACTAGAGGCGGTGGTAGCGTGGTTTTTTTCGGCGGTAGCGGAAGACGGGGGAAGGCGGCGGCTATGGACGGGTGTCACAAGGGGAAATGGTTTAGGGGGGTGAATCTGATTGGTCAAGGGGTTATAAGAGTGGGTCGTTTATGGGTCGGGTACGGGTCGGGTGAATTTGAATCGGTTCTGGTTATAAGGTTTGTGAGTTGGTCGCACAAAGTTAGTGGCTTTTTGTTTTTTGTCGCGCAAGGGTCTGCGAGGGTGAGATCAGGTCGCGCAAGTACGTTGCGAGGGTGAGATCAGGTCGCGCAGATATCTGCACGGGTAGGGGTTCAGTCGCGGGTGCACATCAGAATACACCTCGTGTTGGAGTAATTTTTAGCGTGGATTTGCACGGGTAAGGCCTGGGTCGCGCAACTTTTGCGCGGGTAAGCAGTCAAGCCGCGCAAATTGCAGATTTTGACACTTTTTGCAATTTTTCGCTCCACAAGCTCCGGTTTTCTTCAATACTTTACCAAGATCATTTTTAAACCACAAGATTCTTATTTTTTTTTTTACCAAATTCAAGCCTAGAAACATCCAAACTACAAGTGGAGATTATTTATTCACAACGCATTTATTTAACGTCTTTGCCAAGACATAGTCCCACTTCCTTCAGTCTTTATAAGTCGGGGTTTCCAATGTTACATTTTCGAATTCTCCCATGTCAAAGCCTTCATAAAAGGGTTTCATACGGTTCCCATTCACTTTGAATATTTGATTCGTTTCCAAACTCTTAATTTCAACCGCACCATGATCAAACACTTTTACAACAATAAAAGGTTTGTGCCATCGAAATCGCAATTTTCCCGGGAATAGCTTTAACTGGTAATGATAAAGAAGAAATTTTTGACCCAGAATAAAATGCTTTCGAGTGATGTGCTTGTCATGAAATGCTTTTGTCTTGTCTTTATAGATGCTTGCATTTTCATAAGACTCGTTTCTCAATTCTTCGATTTCTTGAAGTTGCATCTTTCGGTGCTTCCCGGTTTCTTCAATATTGAAATTATAGTTTATAACCACCCAATATGCTTTGTGTTCCAATTCCATCGGTAAATGATAAGACTTTCCATAGTCGAGGCGGAATGGAGACATGTCAATTGAAGTTTTGTAGGCGGTCCGATACACCCACAATGCACCTTCTAATTTCAAGCTCTAATCTTTTCGTGTGGTGTTGACCGTCTTTTCAAGAATTTGCTTGACTTCTCTATTTGACACTTCGACTTGGTCATTTGTTTGTGGATGGTAGGCGGTTGATATCTAGTGTGTGACACCATATCTCTTCATCATGGCTTCCATCATTTTGTTGCAAAAATGAGTGCCCCTATAACTCACCAAGGCTTTTGGTACCCCATATCTTGCAAAAATGTTTGACTTCAAGAAGTCAATGACTGTTTTAGAATCACCATGCCTTGTAGCCTTTGCTTCCACCCACTTTGAGACGTAATCAACCGCCAAGAGTATGTAAGTATAACCGAAAGAGACGGGGAATGGGCCCATGAAATCGATTCCCCATACAGCAAAGATATCACAAATGAGGATAGGGTTTTGAATCATTTCATGCTTCATGGATATGTTTCCCATTCTTTGACATCTATCACAATTCTTTCAAAATAGATAGGTATCTCTTAACATTGTTGGCCAATAGAGTCCACAGTCTAGCACCTTCCGCATGGTTTTGTTTTGACCAAAATGGCCTCCGTATGCATACTCATGGCAAAACTTCAAGATTGATTCCACTCATTTTGGTGAACACACCTCCGTATTAGTTGATTCAGACAATGTTTCCAAAGATAAGGGTCGTTCCACACGTAGTATTTGGAGTCACTCTTCAACTTAGACTTTTGGTACTTGGTAAATGTGTGGGGAATTGCTTTAGTAACCAAGTATTCGACAATTTCCGCATACCATGGAATGATGTTTGAAAGATAGAAGAGGTGTTCGTCCGAAAATTCATCAAGGATGGAAGAAGAGGAGCCACCAATATTCAAACGACTTAAGTGATCCGCAACTAGGTTTTCGGCACCACTTTTGTCCTTTATCTCAAGATCGGACTCCTATAAAAGAAGAATCCACCAAATCAACCATGGCTTGTCATCTTTCTTGGTCATTAGATACTTCAAGGCCACATGGTCGGACTATAATCACTTTTGTCCCGAGAAGGTATTGTCGAAATTTCTCCAAGGCGAAGACAATGGATAGAAGTTCCTTCTCAGTGGTAGAATAATTGGCTTGAGTATTATCCAATGTTTTGGAGGCATAGTAGATAACATGTTATGCCTTTCCCTCCTTTTGACCTAAAACCGCTCCATAGGCAAACTTGCTTGATCACACATGATTTCAAAAGGAAGCTCCCAATTTGGAGGTTGGATTATGGGAGCGGAGGTAAGCAAGTCTTTAGGTTTGTCAAAGTCTTCTTGACATGCTACATTGAAGTCAAAGTCAACATCTTTTTGGAGAAGGAAGCACATCAGTCTCGTGATCTTCGAGAAATCTTTGATAAATATCCTATAGAATCCTACATGGCCCAAGAAATATCTCACTTCTCTAACACATGTTGGGTAAGGAAGGGTTTGTATGACATAAATTTTGGCTTTATCAACTTCAATTCCCTTCTTGGAGACGATGTGTCCCAAAATGATGCCTTGATTGACCATGAAGAGATACTTCTCAAAGTTTAACACCAACTTCTTCTCAATGCACATTTTCAAAGTCTTCTTTTTGTTATCCAAGCATTCATCAAACGAATTACCATATACGGTGAAGTCATCCGTGAACACTTCAATTATATTCTCAACATACTCGGAGAAGATGCTCACCATGCATTGTTGGAATGTGGCGGGGGCATTGCATATGCGCGGCGTAAAGATTGAGTACGCGCGGCGTAGAGATTGAGTACGCATGCATTGTTATCCCCGATGCCTGCATGGCAGCCGAGTATGCGCGGAGTAGAGATTGAGTACGCGCAGCGTACTCCCTGCCATTGACTTTTGTTGACATTTAGGGTTTGGTCAAAAGTGTGGACTATTAAGCCTATGGAGGGGTAAAATGGTCTTTTCACCCTTCTGTGAGTATAAAAGGGTTAGTCAAGTTCTTAAGGGCCAATATTAATTACGGATAATTATCATGTGCTAGGCGGAGGCTAGACGGGTGGGTAGAGTTCAAGATTCCGAGTTCGAGGTTTTCTTTTGCTAGCTTACGAGGTGAGTCTTCTCACTACACTTACCTTGTGTGGTAATTTTATGTGTGACCAGAGGGTCTTATGTGAATGAGTTGTGTATTGAGATATTCTGCTATTTGTTTTGTGATATGCTTACTGTGTATTATATTGAGCTGCTGAGTTGAGGGACCAGAGGGTCCATCTGACTTGTGGGACCGGAGGGTTCCACTGAGACACATTGACCGGAGGGTCTTATTGACTTATAGCCTCGAGTGGCTGATGTGTTGTGTGTGGTATTTTGGGGAACTCACTAAGCTTTATGATTACCGTGTTATGTGTTATGTGTTTCAGGTAGTTCCGAGGATCGCGGCAAGGCACCGGCATGATAGTACACACTGGCGGAAGATGATTTTATGATTCTGGGATTGTGAATTACATTGCGATATGATTGTCATTTTGGATACTTGGGTTTTTGAGATTGTGAAATGAGAATTTAATGTGTTTTAAAAATGAAAATTTTGTTTGAAAAATTTACGTCATTACAAGTTGGTATCAGAGCCTTGGTTTGAGGGATTCGGATGCACCCTCGGGTGTGTTTGGACTCAAACTGAGGATTTGAGAAAGGTTTTCAAAAGAGATAAATTTTTCTAAAAATGAGAAAGAGTTTATGAGAAGACGAGCCGGAGCAGTGTGTACAATCAGCCAGAGCCCGAGCGGTGATTTCCTAAAATACCCTCATTTTGTGTTATGAGATATTTTATGTGATATAATGCATGCTAGACAATAGGCTAGGTGATTCATATATTAGGACTAGGGTGGCCTGATTTATGATGCCTTAGCCTAGGGATTTCTGTTATTAGTGTTTCGCTTTGAGTATGAGTATCTAGCAGGAGCGAGCCAATGAGAGGACTACTGTGAGAGTAGCTTGAGAGGCATAGAGTAGTTGTAATTGGGATCCGAGAAGGAGGACTTGGGGTGAACATTGATGCGGTGTGGAAGGTAGTACTGGTCCCGTACTACTGGAAGCACCAGATCAGTGAGCGGTCCAAGTAAGAATCCTTAGGATGCTAAGGAACAAGTAGGGGAGGGTGATCGAGTGTGAGTATGTTCGAGCGAGTCTCTGATGATTTTTGTGTTGTGTTTCAGAGACATCATGGTGGGTACACGCCACAACCCTGGTAGCAGTGGGAGTAGTGATGAGGAGACACGGAGGATGATCCACGAGGAGGTGGCTGCAGCTATCCGAGCAGCGATTCCATAGATGGTTGGGTCTATCAAGACCACCTTGATACAGACGTTCGACGAGCGATACGCTGCTATCACTGAGGCTGCTGCTATCGCGGCCACTGGAGTCGTCGCCGCTGCTAGGCCTCAGGGAGGTGACTCGTTGCTGTTCCGAGAGTTCAACAACACGAAGCCACCAGAGTTGGATGGGACGCAGGATCCGATTGTTGCGATGAGGTGGATCTCTGATATCGAGGGGTGTTTTTACACGTGTTCATGCCCTGACCACTTGAGAGTTCGGTTTGCACTGAACCAGCTTTGCTTAGGAGCGAAGGACTGGTGGAAGTTTGTGACAGCTGGTTTTACCCCTGCATATCATGTTGCAGTGACGTGGGAGAGGTTTGTTCAGATGTTCCGAGACGAGTATGTTCCCCCGGTGGAGAAGGAACGTTTGGCACAGGAGTTTCTGTCTCTCAAGCAGAAGACAAAATCAGTAACTGAGATTTCGAGGATGTTCCATG